CTTACTTATTATCATTCCCAACATTAAAGTCATTAGTAGATAAGTAGTACTTACTAACCAACTACTTCCTTTAGTACTAACCTTGTAAATATATACTACTCTATTAATAGTTACTATACACTGCTACTTGCTACTGCTATTGATTCCATAGTAGTCCCAATGATCTGAGTGAGAAGATGGAAGCTACTACTAATACCAGTCATTACTAAGTACTACTTACTAGATATATATTTATTATTACTATTACTCTTCCTATTGGTTACTGGTACAACTACTAGCAATATATCATCGTCTTGTAACTAGACAGACAAGACAACATTTGGATGGATGGATGGATGGGTGGTCAGTTACTAGTTCCTTGATCAACCAACTACTTAACTACTTGATTACTACTATCTACATGCATCAAAGACATGATAGACCGAATGACTATTGTACTAGTACTAATAGAGGTTTCCATCATAATATATATCCATTTTAAATCTAACCTAAGCTATGCTAACCTAACCTAACCTAACCTAGATTAGATAGAAGAAAAAAGTATCTACCAGAATAGAGAGAACTAAAAGACGATATCGTATGAAATGTGAAGAGAGTAAAAAAGTAGACGTAGGAGACATAAAAAGGAGGGCGAGAATGAGAGAAATAACACTCAAGATCAGAGTCATTCGTGGAAAGAAGAGAAAAAGAACAGGGTATATAGAATTCCGTGGATAGTGGTGAGTCAGAGGACAGACATATAGATGAACCAGCGTGCGTGGAGATAAGCGGTCACGGATGGACAAAGGGAATGATAAGTGCGAGGCAGAAATTGGTTGGTTGATTTGCATGGTGTAAGGCAATATCGTGGTGGTGATCTCAAGAGCGAGATGGGGGTGTTTCGTAGGTGAAAGAAGTGCCTCTGGTAGACCAGCGTGGCCACCATCTGTAAAAAGAGGTCGAGACATGTATCAAAAACAAGAAAATTGGTATCCGGATTCGACTCCTACAACTGCAGCTAGCAAGAAATGGAATGATAAAAACATAAAAACCCAAGCCTGATCAGGCTAGATATCTCAAAAACCATCACGAACCTCTCTCCCAACCGCGTATCATCACCTCTTTCTACAGGTCTATCAAACTGCCACCCTGTTGAGGTTGATGGTACGCCTGTTGTCCGCCCCAAGGGTTGTTGGCTGGCTGTGCAAAGCCCGTCTGCTGCGGCACAAATTGCTGCTGCTGCGGCTGCTGGCCGAAGAATGGGTTGTTGCCGGTGCGTGTTGCCCGTAACCGATCCAAACCCTGACCAGCGGAGTTGACAAATGTACCAGGAGCGGTGTGCTGCGCAGGAATACGCAGATCGCCAGTGTTGCCAAAAGTGTCCTGACCTTCGCCGGATGCCAGCAGCGCATTGAGCTGGGCGCGGTGCGGATCTTGCATTTGCGGAGGTGTGCTCTTCGGAGGTCCGAAGCTCTGCTGTGGCGGTGCAAGGTTCTGTGGGGACTGGAAGTTGGCGATTGGGTTGAACGAAGTGGTGGCTCGCTCTTCGGCCAACGTGTTCAATGACGGGGGTCCAGTCTGTGCGGGCTTGGGCTGGAACTGCTGCTGCGTACGCTGCGCAAATGGGTTGTTGGATCCAGTGGGCATGGGCCTCAGCGCGTCCGCCGATTGCTGGTTAGTGGCCCATGGGTTGTTGGTGCCGGTCGACAGGAAGTTGTCCTGCTGTTGCTGATTCTGGAACTGCTGCTGCTGCGGCTGCGGCTGTTGCTGCTGCTGCTGTGAGAAGAAGTCGGTGCTGCCGGTAGCTCCCCAAGGGTTGTTGGTATTGAAGGCAGTGTGTTGCGGTTGTAACGTTGCTTGCGGCTGCAGGAAGCTCTGCTGTTGCTGTTGTCCATAAAGGTTCTGATCGAATGCGGAGGGCTGGCCCTGGAATCCATTGGCGTATCCGTTGGGCATACCCGTCATCTGTCCCTGGAATCCAGTGGGCTGCGCATATTGGTTGTTCAGGTAGCCCGTAGTCAGGGGTTGCTGAGGATTGATGGGGTTGCCGAACCAGTCGACGGCGTTCTGCTGCTGATAGCCCTGGTTGTAGCCAGTGGGCTGTGCCTGGGCAGTCGGCACAGGAGCGTCGTCAAAGAGCGACTGCGCATTGCTCTCCTCCAACTCGCGCTTGCGCAGCTCTTCCTCTTCCTTGCTGAGCTTGATCGCCCGAGCCAGGTCCTCGTCATCCTCGGTTCCGGCCTCCTTGGCGCGGCGCTTGCGCTCCTCCTCGGCTTCGTACTTGCTCGCCTCGATGGCCAACCGATACTCGGCATCCTCATCATCGTTGGTCGCACGGCGACGTTCCCGCCGCTCACGGCGCGGCGGTTCCTGCCCATAACCTTGGTCATCGAGTCCGCTCACACGGGACTTCCACAACTTGCGGTCGGAGCGTTCACTGCGTAGTCTGTCTTCATCCAGAATGAGGGATGTAAGTTCCTTGGCGGCAACACGGACTGCCCAGGGACGAGTTAGCCACCACACGGATTCGGGGAAAAGCAAATCCACGAAATAGGGGGAGCCTACCATTCTGACCAACGTCTCGACCATCCTCATCAACGTATTGAAACTCGCGCAAGGTCTTGATGATGTAGACGTTCTTTCGGGCCCAGGTGACGACCAACTCGGAGCCTTCGTGTAGACAGTAATCGAGGACCTTCAATGACTTGAGTACGTGGCGCCAGTTCTTGCCCTTGTCGTTCAAGCGCTTGTCCAGCATATCCATGATCTCGTAGAAATCGGTCGGGCTGGATGATCACACCGGCGTCAGCTTCAATCGAGGACCACGAGAGCCAATGGCGGGGGGAGTAAGTGGCCTACCTGCTAAACGTCAAGGCAGCAATCTCTGCCATTTCGGTCCCCGTAGGGCCCCAGGGGTCATTACTTGTGGCTGTACGAAGCGAATTCACATGTTAGCAGAGTCCGAATGTCAGATCCGACCTTTTGTCAGGGATACCGTGCCGACCGACACCGTAGCATGATGCCCGATTGCGAAGGACCCCAAGAAACCCCGGACCGAAGGAACAGACGAAGACGTACCATTTCGAACTTTGACCTGAACGGAGGAATAACCCTTGGTCACGTTCTTGACACTGCGCACGACTTTGGACATTGTGGCGAGTTGGTGGATAGGGGGTGAGGTTGATTGTAGGTGGGTGTATGTGGCGTGGGGGATGGAGGTTGTAACGGCGGGAACTGGACCCTCGCAATGACGGACTCGGATCTCAATCCCTTCGCGGGGGGAGGAAGTGGACGGGAACGCGCGACACACGGGCGATGGCTTGGGAGGGGGGAAAAGAGAGAGATTTGGGGAGGTAAGTGCGATGGGAGCAGAGCCAGCCCGTCTCTCCTTATCGCGCGGTGAAAGTGGGGAAGATGATGGGGAGTGAGAAGTAGGAGTGGAGGTAGTAGAGTTGAAGGAGAATGAGGAGGAAGAGGTTAAGGTGAGAGAGAGAGAGAGAGAGAGACAGTAGTAACAGTCAGTCAGTTGGTGGCTGTTTAAGGCGTTAAGGTCGGGGGAGTCGGCGAGTGGCTGAACTGAAGAGGAACTCCGGCGGAGTATGTAAGCCGGATGCACACCAGTAGTTAACTAGTTATTTTAATTTAACAAGAAAACAGGGGGGGAGAGAGAGATGTATGATGATGATCGCTTGCACAACGGGAAAAGGAGGGAATGATGGGGACGGGATGAGAATGGAGAGGGTTCCAGGAAAGATGTTCAAATGGATGGAGAAAGAGAGAGATGTTGATTGTACCAGATGAAGAGAAAGAGAAAGAGAGAGTCAGTTGTGGTGGGCACTCACACCGGGAGATGACGACGCAAGCCTCAATCCAGCCAAAGTTTATCCAAACCACGACCGTTTTACTTTTCTATTTCTTTTTGCCCAATTCGTTTCCAGAAGGGTTCAAAGGGTTGAAAACTCAAATTGGATATTTGACAATCTCGAAAATGGAAATCGAAATCCGGGGGAGAGCAATAAGGGATGGAGAGTAGGAGGGAGATAATTGAGGGCGTGGGTACTGATCAGGCACTACAATACAATGTATTGACTATAGCGAAGTAGAAGAAGGGAGGGAAAAGAAAAAAAAAAGGGTCCACAACAAGGGAAAGATGGAGACAGTACAAGTACAAAAGTAGTCAAGTTACTATCAGACCATGGCAGAATTTCTTCAAAATGACACCATCTGTTTTGTTCCTCGCCTTCCGGACAAATCCTACCTACATACACCGTCCAACGATTGGTGATTCTTGCCACCTTGGTTCGGGGGCGGTGCTTATATTATTACTTTTGCCTCTACAGTACGAATTACTTATTCTTGCAGTATATGCCGTGGTTAACCAGCACATAAAACCATAGAATAATAACAATTCATCTGGACATTATATAAATAGTAGGAAGTATCCACCGACGTCATCGGCCGGGTCACTGCAGCAGTCCCCTCTCTTCCCCCCCAAAACACGTTCCTGACCAGCAAAACCCTTGCTGCCCTGTAAAGTAGTTAGTTACTACTAACCGATGATTCATCCAGAATCTTCCCCAAAGCAAGGAATGAAATTGAACTGGACTCCCCTCCCCACCCCAGGGCTCAACTCGTATCTGACAATCTACTGGCCTATCTAGATAGTATCGATCTCGTATCTCCATGTAATTCCCGGGGATGCATCCAGGCAGCAGGATTGGCAGTCCGTCGTGATCCGTCGGGCTTGACCTTCTCTCCCGTCTTCAAAACGCAGACTGCAATTCTCATACTCATATTTACTACTGGCTTCATACTACTATTTACTTCCCCCCTAGAAACCCTAACACTCATAAGTACTTAGTACTGCTACATGCTCTCAAATTCATAATCTATCAGGTTATTCCTGACACATGCAAATCCCTGGAATCGTAGAACATAAAAGATGAATGGAAATATAAACCTCAGAAAATGGAAAATAAAAATGGGCAAGATGGAAATAACAAGGCAACCAAATGCATCATCTACCCACGGCGACTTTCCTCTTCCAGACTCAAATACTTCGCCTCCGCCCCCTTGATGCATGCAATGTTCGCCCCCAGCTTGTTCAACGTCTCCACGTACTCGTCGTACGGGTCCGAGTCGAACACAATGCCTCCGCCCGCCTGCAGGTAGGCCACCCCGTTCTTCACCATCATCGTCCGCAGCGCAATGCACGTATCCATCGCCCCCGGCATCTCCGTCTGGCCATCCGCGCTGGCGATGTTATACCCAAAGTAGCCAACCGCTCCCGCATACACTCCGCGCTTCTCGCCCTCCAACTCCGCAATCAGCTGCATCGCCCGCACCTTGGGCGCTCCTGACACCGTGCCCGCCGGGAAGATCGACCGGAACGCATCGAACCGCGTCTTCTCCGGCCGCAGGATGCCCGACACCTGCGACACCAGATGCTGCACGTGCGAGAACTTCTCCACCACCATCAACCGGTCCACCTGCGTCGTGATCGGGTCGCACACCCGGTTCACATCATTGCGCGCCAGGTCCACCAGCATCACGTGTTCCGCCCGGTCCTTGATGCTGCTCGTCAGCTCGTTGGCCAGTGCCGCATCCTCCTCGGGCGTCTTCCCCCGCTTCACCGTGCCCGCAATCGGGTGCGTGATAATCCGTCCCTTCTCCTCCTTGACCAGCAGCTCGGGACTGGCTCCCACCAGCTGGAAGTCTTCGCAGTCGATGTAGAAGAGATATGGCGACGGGTTGACCGTGCGTAGGTGACGGAAGAGGTTGAAGGGATGGAGCGACGTCGGCCGGGACAACCGCTGCGACGGCACAGTCTGGAAAATATCACCCTTGGAGATGTGCTCCTTGAGCCGTGTAACATGGCGCTCGTATCCTTCCCGTCCAATGTTCGATGTGTACTCCTGGTTCTGAATGATCGGGCCTTGGGGCGGAAGAGCGTAGTCTGGTCGAAGAAGGACGTCAATGGTCCGCTGGAGAACCTCTTGTCCTTGGCGGTAGACGGACTCAAGTTCCGAGTCGTTGCCGGGAATGGAAATGTATGTGATGACCTTGACGACCTGGAAGAAGTGATCGAAGGCGACAATCGTGTCGAACAGCATGAAAAGCGACTCCGGAATTTGGAGGATATCCTTCATCGGCCGAGCCGTCTTGGGCTCGAAGTACCGCACGCAGTCATATCCCACGTATCCAATGGCACCACCAGTGAGCGGGGGCAGTGTCAAGCCAGGCACCGTCGCAACCCGAAAGCCGGAGAGTTCCTGCTCCAGGATGGGCATGGGGTCGCACTCGGGGCCATGACCGGGACCGGTCTTGATGATTTTGCGGGGACCTAGACGAAGGTACAGAAATCGTCAGTCTATCAGACTACCCCGCCACACAATAGCATTGAAGGACATTGCTGCATACCAGCACCGACGAAACTGTATCTGCCGATAGTCTCGGTCGTCGCAGCACTCTCGTAGAGGAAGGACAGTTTAGATCTGGACAAGCGAACCACGTTAGCGCATCTGTGCTTGCCCGCAAGCCATGTGGCCATCTTGCCGAGCGCCACTCACTTCTCCGCGATCTTCAGATAAGCCAATGTGGGGGTCAACAGGTCGGCCGGAATCGACGTAGTCAACGGAAGGAGGTTAGGAGGAAATTGCGCATTTTTCGACTGGGCGATAACTTCGCTGGCGGTCTCGAGGGACGGCACGACGGTAATCTGCGTGAGTCACATGGGGACATGAAATCAGTATCATATCAAACGACCCTCCGCGGGGTAATTCGTCGACTGGCAAGAATGGGAACAGTGATTGCCTGTAGAACAAAAGGAAGAGGCACTCACAGGTGGCGCCATCTTTGCGAGTCCGAAAGCGATGGGAATTCGACTTGTGCGGGGAGGAGAAGGAGGGGGGATTTGATTGAGAAATAAAAAGAGGCTAAGTTCGGGAAGCCGGAGGATCGGAGTATTTGCGGTGCTGACTGGGGACGGAGTAATTTGGGGAGGATTTAATCAAACAACTACTCGATACCGTCGCAGCTCCACAATTTATTGGGTGATATGAGCAGTTGCAAACCAACAGAGATAACCAACAGGACTGACTATTTCTTGAAGGAAGGATGACAAGTCGTCGAGGTTCAAATGGCAGGCGGCAAATTGTTGGCCAATTCGACTTCTGGGACCCTAAAGCGGGCTAGCGTGGATGGAAGGAATGGTTATCGAAGGTTGATCGAATAGACCGGGTTGACCGTCTTTTTCTCTTTCTCCCAGAAGGAAGCCTGCCGACGTATCTTTATTGCAGGTGGCAGTGTCTGTGTTTGCTGCCCATCAGGAATCGAGATCATCTTTGTGGGAGATCTGAGGGCGCACGTGCTCTTCAGCTGGGATCAGCCTGTTCCTTCTTCTCTGCTCTTCCAATCCCTGTCATCCTTGCCCCGGTTGCTGTGGAAGTAATCCCCGTCGCCCGCGGCTGGCTGATTGTCCCCTCTTCAGTCTCTCGAACACAACAACTCCACAGCCAGATCACAACTGACCGCACTAAAGTGAGTTGTTCTGCACCTGGGCCTATAAACAGAAAGCTACCCACATCTCATCGTTCATACTGACAGCGCAAGACACGTATATTCCTGCAGCCCGTGCAGCCTGGCTGCAGCCCGACATCCCTCCTTGCTACCGACTACTACCCTTTTCATCACGCTCGCCTGTATTTACTGAACCTCTTTCTGAGAAACAATCAAATCATTAGATTACATGGTCCTAACCCTAGCCAACCATGGAACACCCGCCTCCATCTCATTACGATGAGTTATCCCCTCCTTCCTCGGTAGCGGGCCAGATCTGGGACATGGCGCTCACGGACCCCGACTATGCCTCCCATATCCTCGACTCCAACGACACCGCCGCTCCCGTCTCCGCGCGTCTCACAAGACTAGCCCATCTGGCATCCCACTTCAATCCGACCTCCAAATCCGACTCCATGACCCTTCACCACTGTCTCGAGACCCTCGAGTCCCTGCTGGACCCACGCCCAGCCTTGACGCAAGAGCTCGCCCGATGCCGTCCTATAAGCCATTCCCGACAGTCCAACTCCATCGCTTCCATCTCCACGACCGACTCTCAAGATTTGGGCAATTCTGTTGCTTCGCTCGAAGAGATGTCACACCCTCCTCTCAAGGATATCTTGAGAGAGGTTACGACACTCAAAGTGGAATTCGACCGTCGTCGCAAGGAGTCGTCCGAGATATATGAGTTGCTCACACGAGAACGCGAAACACTAGCCCGAAAGATCGGCGAACTAGATGATGAAATTCACGAACTGTGAGGAACCCCAGGGACTTGTCGGTTTATGCTGTGGCCAGGATCGCTAATATACCCTGTAATCATAGAAATACAGACATCCTCGAAGACACTGCTGAGCGGGAAGCGATCCAAGGCACGATACGAGGACTCGAGGGTTGGGTGGATGAATGGCACAAACAGCGCCTATTGATTGCCGCTAAGAAACAGAGTGCTGCCTCACGGCGGAATGGTCAGCGAAGATGGACGAAATGCAAAGTCGACGAGGTCGAGGGCGACGGCGAAGCCCTGTTTGAGGGAATAACGGCATGGATGCGAGGATGGAAGGACGTCGAGGAGGTTTTTCGCATCCGAGAGCAGAATCGCACTTTGAGAAGGGAAGAAAGACAGAAGACACGGGCAAAATACGTATGAAATGAATTTTCGGCAGGAATGGGACGCTGGTCGATGAGGACGAAGGCGGGAATGAGATATTGTGATTGGGTATCAAACGTATCATCCCACACCGCAGCGGATGAGAAGGCTGCTGAATCATTCGCCTGAAGACCGAGCTTAGGGCGATCACTGATCGATCTGTCCAAGAAGAAATGGTACAGTGCAAGAAAGTAAAGAGGCAAAGAGAAAGAAGTCAATGTAGCCACCGTAACCATGTAGAGTTGCCAACCACCACCGCGTTTTTCCTGAAGACCCAAGCTGCGCCGTTTAGTATGGTCTAATCCAAAATCATGGGGGTAGAGCTAGAGATTATGGTACTGAAAGTAGATTGAAAGATCTCTGGAGTGACAAGGATGTCTGAACACGCTCCCACATCATGGCACGTCGGGGCCTGCCGAGAACCGGGAGCGGAGAGACGAGCGCTAGCAGAGGTGCCGACGCTAAGTGTGCAGCACCCAGCTAGGGATGAGTCCGGCCTGCCTTCGTCGCAAAAATAATAACGTCAAATGTGTATCGGATGGCTTTATTTACCATTTTCTTAATGTACTATCGAGAAGTAAAAGTTCGTAACGCAGCCGGCTCGCACGTCTCGTAAGAATCAGCGCTGCAGATTTACGATGGCCAGCTATTTAACGATAATCAGTGACAATGTTTCACGCGTAACGTCCAGGACGACATACCTGGTTTCCATAGCCGAAAGCAAGCTTTTTGCCATCGGTATCCCACGCTAGACTGCGATCCGGCACCGACTCCGCAGTGCCATTGTGTCCATTCACCATGGGACTAGAGTCTTCCTCCTTTTTCTGCTCTCCGGGACCCGGCACTTTCCATGTGGCCAGCGCAGTGCCTCCTCGCTGTGCATTCCAGATGAACAAACTCTCTTTACTGGCAGCAGCAAGGGCGTATCCGTCGGGAGAGAAAGTGCTAGCGAGAGCGGGTGCCGACGGGCCGAGAAACAATCGGTGGATACAGTTGAACTGTTTGGACTCCAGATCCAAATGCCATACCTTGACCGTGTCGTCGGTGGAGGAAGTGGCCAAAACGATTGTTTGTGCTGTTTCTGGTTGTTGCTGCTGTTCCATATTGGGCTTCAGCTCGATGGCCGTAATGTCGCCTTCATGGGCACCCTCATGGCGCATGTCATGGGTAGGCACCCATAGTGTAGCATTGGCGGAAGATGCAGTTACCGCCACGGATGAAGAGCCGGCATTCGCACAGCGGATGAATGACCACGGCTGGTCAGGGTCGCCAGATGAGAACGTCTTGGCGATGTGGATACTCGAATCGACATCGCATTGATAGACCGTCCCGTTACCACAAGCAAAAGCCTGGTTGGAGCCCAACCAACAAAGGTCAAAGATTGATCCCTCGATAACCTGAGGCGATGGGAATTCGTCCGGTCGTAATGAGTCGTCCCAGAGCGCTAGCTCAGAGATTCGGCTGTCCGAGGCAACCACGATCAAATGGGACCCGCTTTCCGCCCAGTGCAACCCAGTAATCATCCGCGGTACTTCGGGAAGAAGATCGACCGCATTGCCAGAGACGTCATACATGGTGATGGAGCCTCTCATGTCATTGTAGGTCGCGACGGCCAGCTTCTGGCCCAATGGATCCCAGGCGACTGCCGAGACACAGGTGCTATCCCCCTTGTTCGCTACGAGTTTCTCCTGTACCGGATCCGAGGATGAAGACAGCCTCCACAGGCTGCAGAAGGTATCACCGGCGGCCACGACGGTAGTAGGGTCCCGAGGGCGCCAGAGAGTGCGAGTCACGTGATCGTCACTAGCCAGATCGAGGATGGCGGTGTTGGGCCCAAGGTCGGCGGCCTTGGCGGGGGTGATCTGGACGCCAACGCTGTGGCCGGTGGTTAACGTGAAGGTCGGCGCCACCGGTGCTGGTACTGGTGCTGGTTCTGGTTCCTGGTCCTGCGAATCCGGTCGGCCGCCCATGCTCACATCTCCGTCACCGTCCACCTCCATGTCGGCTTTTGGAGGCAACTCATCGACTACCTCGGACTTATTTTCAGTCGTTACTCCATTAGTGTCAATTTCCATGGGAGTTTCATCACCGTTGGTCTCTCCGCTCTTGTGCGGCTTCTTCACGCCGGCGGGAGCTTGAGGTGGTGCTGGTGCTGGTGCTTTTGGTGCTTGGGGTGCCGCCGCCGCCTCGGCCGTCAAGTGACCGTTAATCACGCCGCCATCTCGCGGAACTTTGCTTGTAGGCGAGACAGGCGCCTGGTCTGTGCCAACGCCTGCCTCTCCGGAGCCACTTTGACCCTTTTCAGTTTCGGGTTCCAGCGGCGTAGGCCCGAAAAAGTAGTCAGACGATGTGAAGGCCGTAGGATTCCCATCCTGTTCATTATTAGTCCTTATGTTTTTTGTGTATGCATGTTACTCGAAAAATCTTGAGGCGCGTAGCAAAAATATCAATGAATATCATACCCTGTCGAGCGAATGCTCTAGTTCATGATACTGCAGGCCCTTTTGTACCAGGGATACTAGAGCATGAGTTTTGATGTATGGGGCAAACGGCAAACTCTGCGGGTCACGATTCCACGCGCGCTGTAAGGTGAGTGCAGCCTCGCCATGCCCTGTGGGAAAGTTAGTTTGCTTTTCCCGTGAAGAAAGGATAAGCACCAAATCATAGGGAAAGAATATTACCTGACTCTTGAAGATACCTATATGGAAGTTAGCAATGCATACAAACGGTCGAGAAACCCAATGACGCAGCATGGTAGGTACGTGTTACGGCAAAACGAGGTTGCAAAGGGAGTCTGATACATACCTCCATATTAGGTAATTGACGTGATGCGATGTGAGATCGGGTTGTGCCATTGTTACATGTATGACAGCTAGTAAGGTGGAGGGTCCGCTAGCATGCCAAAAACGAAAGGCTTTCTCCGTGAAAGGTAGCAAAGGATTAAGGCGGGGATTGCTGCAAGGCAGGGACTGGAGGGTACAATGGTCCGAGATGCTGCCAAGTCGAGCGCACCAAAGGTTTAGATGAGGAAGAAAACTCTTCTGACAGCTTCCCTCTCAAACAGAACCTGAATGAGAGACAGGAGGTCTCTGGACGAGAGGGGAGGGTCCGAGTGGGAAAGATGCAGCCAAGGCTGTGACAAGGGAGACGTTCAGTTCAGACGGTACTTGGGGAAGGGCGGATGTGAGTAAAACACGAAAAACGCAGGCTGGCGGATTAGTCGTGAGAAAAACTAAACCGAGGACCAGTCACAAAAGCACATTCTACATGCGCCTTGTTGCTGGACGGGGTTGGTGATGTATGGTGAAAGGAACACGAAAGACTGTTCTTTGAGATAGAGGGACAAATTGAAGGGAGAATGGAAGAGAGGGAGGGAGTGAAGAGCGAATAATATCGGGACGGGAGGAAATCGACACCAACGTGTGGCTTAAAGATAGCAGACCCGCTAGCGAACTGCAAAGGCCGGAGGGAGCAACACCAGAATCTTCGGGGAGAGTGGAAAAAGGCGGATGGACGGATAGACGGGGAGGAAGAAGAGAAAGGGAAGAAAGAGAAGCAGTTCAGATCCGGAGCGGGTGAATGAAACGAAATGATGGAGAAAGAGAGTTATGGGACCGACAGACAAGCCAGACAAGACACGACCGGCCGATGACCCCAGGGAAGCGTATGAGGAACTCCCGTTAGTTAGTGCCAAAGGTAGTTCGAACAGACCAGACCAGGTAAGGTACAGTCGTAGGATCGTGGAGGTGGTAGGGGTCGAGAAGAACAAAGTGAGGTAGGTTAGTTAGTCAGTGTCAAGTTAGTAAATAAGGCTAGGTTAGCAGGTACGTAAAGGTACGTAGGTACTTGGTCGACTGGCACTTTTTTCGACACTCGACAGTTTCGACCCTCACAGTCACGACAAGACAAGACAGTTTCCACGCCGCTGTGAAGTCCGTCTAAAGGTTTAGTCAAGAGTTACGGGTCCAACCACGCCCAACCAGGCCAAGGGTAAAAATGAGCAAAAAAGAAAAGAAAAATTCAAAGCTGGAATTTCTCCAGGCGCGGCTCTGGGACGCTGTTTCAGACGCTGAACGCACCGGGAGTGGGCATTTGGGCCTGGGACTTTTTCGGGGGGTGGGCTTGACTCGTTGTGGCGTCTAGGCCACGGCTAGCGTGCAGCTGCCCTCCAACCCACTTTGGGGCCCCTGGTCCATCCCAACTGGTCCAACTGCTCCATTCGGTCCTTCTGACGGCCTCCCGATCGGCCTCTACACTTATCCTCTTCCGGTTAGCCGGCACCGGCCCTTTCATGGTTCGATTGGCCCTTTCCCTTTGTCGTTCGCAGGATTTCTGTGCATTTTGCGCATTTTTCGTGGCCTTTTTTCCTTTTCCACCTTTTTTTTTTTTTATTTTTAATTTTTTAATTTTTAATTTTCCCTTCCTTGAAGGTGCTGATCGTGGCCAGTTAGATACCTTAGGCAGGATGTCGGTCATGTACCTACTGGGATGGTACCTACAGATGATGTCGCTTTAGTTCTTACCTTGTTCATCTGCAGAATTACAGACTGCCTAGAGTCATGATACTTGGTTGAAAGGCGATAATTTCACTGACTTTCGGAGAATATGACTAAATTTGAGGGATCAGATCACCCAAATGCAGTCTTAACACAGACTATCTGAGTTAGTGGTCTGCTTCATGCCCAGATTCAATTTTTCTCCTGCCAGCTGATAGCCTGGATCTAAATCTGGGGGCAGTTCACCCGTCTGCTAGGAATGCCGATCAGTTGTACATCCTTCTGGAGTTCTGTACATGCATGCATTGATGATTGTGGGCTGGAATCCATTCCCCCCGCCGGCAGAAAGGTTGCTGTGAAGGTCTCCCCCGTACGACTCTTGGTGCTAAGCAGTCTAAGCTTGCTTACCTTAGCTGCACTTTCTTCGCTCTTTCTTCAGTGGTCGGTCCACTTAGAAAGTCTGGCGGGTGGGTAACTAGGACATCACTGTAAATCTCCCTTGGGCTGAGCCACACCCCAGCGCTTGAGCCACACGTGACCCATGCGATCGGTTTAATCTCAATTCCTCCCCTGACACGGGTTCTTTTTGTCATGCATTCTCTAGAAGACTTCCACAATAGCCAGGGTGAGACCTGAGAAGGGATTATTGAGGAGACCCGGAAGCTTATTGAGCGGAAATGGCGCCGATAGTTATTTGACTCGTTATCAGTTCATGCCAGGCTGATTCGTAGTAGGCTCAAATATGAAAGGTAAATGATCAGTAGAGTCATTGTCGATGCGACTGGTGTCTGTCAGCAGATCCTATCCCGCACACAAAAACTTCAACGCCAACTTATTTTCCGCAAAACAAATTCAATGGTGGTAGACAACCTGCTGGTCATCCATGTTTCCCGATGACTGGATGCATTGTTGTCTTTCAATAATAACAAATGCCACGGCGGAGGCATGAATGGCGGCCTTGCGGATGCCATGCAAGGTATCCAATCAGAGAGACGCGATCCCGTCCTTGCAGGCTTGTCCGAAAATGGAACTCCCCCCAACGCCGCCCCGAGCGACTAGTCACCAGCGAGTCCAGCTCGTAGTACGGATCATCTGGTCTGGATGCATTTCACTTCTCCTTCCCACACTTCCTTTCCCCCAACCCCCGTTGGGCTCTGTCAACAGCCTGCGGTTTAATAGCCGCAAGAGCGTCCTCTGACACCATGGCGCCTCGAGTCAATATCCCTCCAGCGACCCGCATCTGTCTTATCAGCCTTCTCACCCTCTCCTTGCTGTATAATATCGCCCGATGGCGGCAACTTGACACCACGCCCGGCGCACCCGCCATCACCCCGATTATACCCTATTTGACACTCGTTCCTTCACAATTTCTTTTCTATCCGTGGACCCTCCTTACTGCGACATTTGTGGAGCAGAACATCTTCACCGTGCTTCTGAACGCGGCCATTCTCTTTTATGGCGGAAAATACCTGGAGCGCGCATGGGGATCCCGGGAGTTTGCGAAGTTCATCCTAGCCATCGCCGTCATCCCGAACGTGGTGATTGTTCCGCTCTATATTCTAGGAGCTGCCCTCAGGAGCGGCTCCAGCAGCGGGTACGCCTTGTTCTCTCATGACGAATGCACAACATCTTGCGCTTTCCCTACTGACTCACCGACTTCAAGCCTCACGCAGATATGCGGCGGTATCTCGATTCAAGCATCCTTCCTGGTCGCCTTCAAACAACTTGTCCCTGAGCATACGGTGACTATCTTCAAAGGCTTGGTCAAAATGCGGGTGAAGCACTTTCCCGCTCTGTTTTTGTTCCTGAACACGATCAGCGGGGTTGTCTTTGGCACGCATGTCGCAGCGATTCTTGCCTGGCTCGGCCTCTTGACCAGTTGGACCTACCTTCGCTTCTTTAAACGCCAGCCTGATCTTACCGGCACATCGACCGATGGGCTAGGCATCAAGGGTGATGCCAGCGAGACTTTTGCGTTTGCATGCCTCTTCCCGGACGTGCTTCAGCCACCAATCGCCTTTCTATCCGATCAAGTTTATGCTCTGCTGGTCGCCGTCAGGATCTGTACACCCTTCTCCGAGGAAGACATTGCCTCGGGTAACCAGCAGGTTCTGGCACGCGGAGAGGCAGGTCTTCCCAGTCTTCTTTCCAACCATCGCAACGGACGGGCCATGGCGAAGCGGGAAGAAGCGGAGCGCAGACGTGCTCTAGCACTCAAGGCTCTCGACCAGAGGCTTCAAGCAGCAGCAGCAGGAAGAGTGCAGCCAGCGACCTCTGCAGCGAATCAGCAAGGATCCAGCCATACTCAGACTCCGACACCCACAGTCTCAGCCGGCCAGAGTATGTTAGGAGAAACCAGCTATACCCCCGACCATGCGTGAGGCTGCAGCAACTCTACAAAGCATGGTTTCATGGAGTTTGGTCGGTTGTTTGGGATAGATTGCAAAGGAACAATGCAACGTAAAGTGTTTCTGCTGTTCAGCTTGTCATATACCAACCTTGGATTTTCTTTTGCAAGGAAGTGAGGTCTTCCCAGCAAGTGCAATTGTGTGACATGGGGCGGGGCTTGTTGGCCTTCACTGTACAAAATGTCTTCTACCTTTTTTCTTTTCCACAATGATGAATGAACATGATCACATACACATACACTAGTGCAGAGCCTGTGAAGGGAAATAGTAGACCGCCACACTACATAACATCCTTAACAATACCTCATACCCATGATCTCAGCAAAGCACAATGTATACTTGCAACAGAAAGAAAAGAAATTTCCCCAAACTACATAATCGAACAGGAATAATACAGAGAGATATATGCTATGCTACAAGACACGACGCCCCAAGGTCGTATACTATATTCCCACACAAGCCAAATCACCCATCCACATCACCCGATCAAAAGATCAACCCTACAACTGCCTCAACTTCTCGACCTCACCCCTAGCCTCCTGCAACATACGTTCCTGATCCGCCTTAGCCTGACGAATAGCCGCTATACGCGCGCGATCCTTATCACTCTGCTGCCTCAACTGCTCCAACTTCTGCAACTCAGACTCCTGCTCCGGAGTAGGCTGGATCTCCTGCGCGCCCGTCATGTTCTTCACCTTAGCCCAGATATCCTTGTAGTCGAGGTTCTTCACATCCAGAACAGCGGCCTGCTCCGCCTCTCCGGGGGCCGGGGCATGCTTGTCCGTGACGTCCTTAGCGGAGAGCAGGGATGCGGCGTTGCTGGCGCGCTCGGCGAAGTAGATCGTCAATGCGGCGGGACCTTCTTGTTCCTCTGTTTGGCGCACCGTCATGGGAATCGCTGGGTTGTAGTACTTGAGTCGGGGGAGGCAGTTGCGCCAGAAATGTCGTGCGCCTTGGTGTCCGCCGTAGATCTTGCGGGCGTATGTGAGGTGCAGCCGCGTGATGGCGGGGAATTCTTTAGAGGCGTTTGCGACAGTGGGGAGGGTTGCGGCTCCGGTGCCGACTTGGATGTTGAGGAGCTGGGATGGGGTGTTAGTAGGGTTGGGTTTGATGGGTTTCTCCGGTGGATGGTTGGGTTGGTTGATTGGTTCCGATATGGGAGGGATGGCATCGGTGGGTAGGGATTGGGGCTGTCGGGTTGTATTGAGGGTTCAAGGGGAGCTGGATGAGATTGTAGATTGAGAACATACCCTCTGTTAAATAGCAATGTTAGTATCTGGGTCATTGATAATGGGTGATGGTGGTCAACTTACGGTTTTCAGCTTCCGCATCCGCTTGAAGAGGTTGACCATTGTGACGGTTGGAGCGCCTGAGCGACTACTTTCTGATGGGAGATATGTCAAGGGATGGGATTTTCAGGTCGCGCCCGGCTGTAATTGATCTGGATGGGCCGACGACGGGGTGGTTAGATGGCTGCTGATTCGGAGCTGTCTCCCGTTGATTTTTGGGATCCCCGGCGGAAAGAAAAGCAGCCGATATCAGATCACGTGATGCTAAGATAATGTGCTGCGGCGATGTTGATGATAGTCTGTCATTACTTAGCAACTTTGGGTGATGACTCCTTTGACTGAACCCAGACGCCTAGCACCTTCTAGTTCATACAATGCCCATGTCTTCCCTCTATTCTGTTGTTCAAATTCCAAAGGAACTCGCTTTCACCGAGTCTAATCCTCCCGGGTTCAGCCTTCCCTTACAGCGTGATGACTCCAACATGCATCATTCGCTCCAGGAATTGCACTAAAGTTGTGACTCACAACTTAGAACAATCATTCCATATTCAAGGTCCACCTGCCATATCTTAATTACCTGAAAGAGGCTGAGCAATGAAGCCATCGCCCTTGATACTGGGATATCCCCATGCTCCGATACCGGATGAGGCAGGCGGTGACTCACGGACCGCCTTTTCCCACATTCGGAGTAATTCTTTTCGACCCCGCGGTGACTCCAGTCGCTCGATCTATATAACGCTGCCCTTTTCCCTCCTCGCCCTCGGGCTCATTATCTCCAGTTTGTCAGATTTATCCTTCTACATCCGGAGCCATGGCAGCCGCCGCCGCCGCTGCGTCTGCAGCTGCGCTCGAGCAGGGCACGAAAAACACTATGAAACTCGAGAATGTCTGCCTCACATGCCCCTCTTTGTCCCCCAAGAGACCCGATTTGACCTGGATTGAGCTGACCATGTATTATCTGCATAGACCGAGAAGAGAGATACCCTTATCGCCCTCGAGAAGAAGTACCAGGCCCAATGGAAGGCAAACAAGGTCTTTGAGGTCGATGCTCCCTCCGAGACGGAGGTGCCTTTCGGCAGCATGTCCGCCGCTGAGCTCCGTGAGAAGCACCCCAAGTTCTTCGGAACCATGGCCTACCCCTACATGAACGGTACCCTTCACGCCGGTCACAGTTTCACTGCTAGCAAGGTCGAATTTATGACCGGTGTTGCTCGCATGGAGGGCAAGAGGGCCCTTTTCCCTCTCGGATTCCACTGCACTGGTATGCCCATCAAGGCCTGTGCCGACAAGCTTCGGGATGAAGTCGCCAAGTTCGGCAAGAACTTCGAAGGCTACAGCGAAGAGTCTGAGGAGCAGGACAAGGCTGCCGTTGCCGCTCCCACCCAGGAGGTTAAGGCAGAGCAGGAGAAGTTCTCCGGAAAGAAGAGCAAGGCCGCTGCCAAGACCGTCAAGATGAAGTACCAGTTCCAGATTATGCTGGCTATTGGTATCCCCATTGAGGAGATCCACAAGTTCGCCGATGCCGCTCACTGGCTCCAGCACTTCCCCCCTCTCGCCATCCGTGATCTCGACAGCCTGGGTGCCCGTGTTGACTGGCGCAGACAGTTCGTCACCACCGACGCCAACCCCTACTATGACGCCTTTGTGCGCTGGCAGATGAACCGCCTTCACGAGCTGGGCAAGATCCAGTACGGCAACCGTTACACCATTTACTCTCCTAAGGACGGACAGCCTTGCATGGACCACGACCGCACTGAGGGTGAGGGTATCGGTCCCCAGGAATACACCGCTATGAAGCTCAAGGTCAAGGAGTGGGCTCCTGAGATCGCCGAACTCGTCAAGGGCAAGATTGAGGACGATGCCAATGTCTACTTCGTCCCCGCCACTCTGCGTCCGGAGACCATGTACGGACAGACCTGCTGCTTCCTTGGCCCCAAGATCACCTATGGTCTCTACAAGGTCAAGGAGAAGGAATACTTCGTCGTCACCAAGCGGGCTGCCTGGAACATGGCTTTCCAGGGCTACTTCGCCGACGGCGAGAAGTTCCTCAAGTCCCAGGACCAACTGCCCCTTGTCGTTGAGGCCCCCGGAACTGCCTATGTCGGTACTCTCGTCAACGCTCCCCTTTCTTTCCACACTGAAGGTGTGCGCATCCTTCCCATGGAGGGTGTCTCTGCCAGCAAGGGTACCGGTGTTGTCACTTCCGTGCCCTCGGATTCTCCCGATGATTACGCCACTTTGATGGATCTCGCGAAGAAGCCGGAGTACTATGGTATCAAGAAGGAGTGGGCTGAGCTGGAGATCTTCCCTCTCATCGAGACTCCGACGTACGGAAACCTCACTGCTCCCGCTCTCGTCAAGCAGCTCAAGATCAACTCTCCCAAGGACGTTAACCAGCTTGCACAGGCCAAGGAGTTGGCCTATGGTGAAGCTTTCTACAAGGGTACCATGATTGTCGGTGAGTACAAGGGACAGCCCGTGAGCGCTGTTAAGGAGAAGATCCGTAAGTCTCTGTACGAGAGCGGTGATGCCTTCCCCTTCGCCGACCCTATGGGCAAGGTTGTCAGCCGCAGTGGAGATGACTGTGTTGTTGCCTACCTCGGCCAGTGGTTCCTGAACTACGGTGAGAACGACGCCGAGTGGCAGAAGACCACCCTGAACCACGTTGTGAACACCCTGAACGCCTACTCGAACGAAACCAGGAACGGTTTCGAGAAGAACCTGTCCTGGCTCAACCGCTGGGCTTGCGCCAGAACCTACGGTCTGGGTTCGAAGCTGCCCTGGGACAAGCAGTTCCTTGTCGAGAGTTTGAGTGACAGTACCGTCTACATGGCCTACTACACCATCGCCCACTACCTGCACGGTGACCGCTACGGTAAGGAGCCTGGCTCCCTGAACGTGAAGGCCGAGCAGATGATCGACGAAGTCTGGGACTACGTCTTCACCAGACGTGAGCTCAGCGATGAGCTTGTCTCCAAGAGCGGTATCAGCAAGGAGGCTCTGCAGAAGATGCGTAGAGAATTCGAGTACTGGTACCCTCTGGACGTCCGTGTCTCCGGAAAGGATCTCATCCAGAACCACTTGACCTTCTTCCTGTACATCCACGTCGCCCTCTTCCCTCCTGAGTACTGGCCTCGCGGTGTCCGTGCTAACGGACACTTGCTGCTCAACGGTGAGAAGATGAGCAAGAGTACGGGTAACTTCCTTACCCTGAAGGATGCTGTCGACAAGTTCGGTGCTGATGCCACCCGTATCGCCTTCGCCGATGCTGGTGACGGTATCGAAGACGCCAACTTCGAGGAGACCGTCGCTAACAGCAACATCCTCCGTCTCCACACTCTCAAGGACTGGATGGAGGAAGTTGTCAAGGACGAGTCCCTGCGTACCGGCCCCGCCGATGCCTTCTGGGACAAGCTCTTCGACAACGAGCTTAACGGCCTTGTCCGTGAGACCAAGAAGCACTACCAGGAGTAAGTCACCTTTTATCCCCCTACAATCCCGCAACCACCTGTCCACATGATGTTCGCATATTCTACGTATTTGCTACTTCAGAGCCTTTCACGGCCATGAGACAAACATCACCACATGCCTGATGGACCCTTCACAAAAACTCTTCGTCTTGCTTCACTTGACTTCCACTTGGACTTTCATGAAGCTAACTACTTCTAGCACCAACTTCAAGCTCGCCCTGAAGTCCGGTCTGTACGACCTGGTCAGCGCCCGTGACTTCTACCGTGAAGCTACCACCACTGCCGGCATTGGCATGCACCGTGACGTCGTCCTCCGCTACATCGAGCTGCAGGCTCTGATGATGGCCGTCATTGCTCCTCACTGGTCCGAGCACATCTGGCTCGAGATCCTGAAGAAGGTTCGTACCTACCCCACAACCCACTCCAGCTCACCCCCACTAACACCCTATCCAGCCCTCGACCATCCACCACGCCCGCTTCCCCGAGGTCCCCGAGCCCTCCCTCGAGCTGTCCGCAGCCCTTGACTACGCCCGCTCGACCACCTCCAGCATCACCTCCGCGGAGGCCAACTTCGTGAAGAAGCTCTCCAAGGGCAAGCAGACTGCCTTCGACCCCCGCAAGCCCAAGAAGCTCAGCATCTACGCGGCCAAGAAGTTCCCTGTCTGGCAGGAGAAGTACATCGACCTTGTGCGCGAAGCCTTCGACGCAGTCAGCATCTCCTTCAACGACAAGGAGCTGAACGCCAAGGTCGGCAAGCTCGGCGAGATGAAGAAGGCTATGCCCTTCGTCCAGAGACTCAAGAAGCGTCTCGTTGTCGACAAGGAAGTCCCCGAGGCTGTCTTCGACCGCAAGCTGCCTTTCGATGAGTTCGCTGTCCTCAGCGAGATGGTTGCTGCTATTAAGCGCGTTACTGGCGCCAAGGAGCTGGAGATTGTTGCTGTCGATGAGGGTGGTAAGACTGGTGAGGTTGTTGGTACTGGTGAGAAGAGGGAGGGACTGCAGGCTGAGAATGCCGTTCCCGGCCAGCCTTCTTTCAACTTTGCCAATATTGAGTAGATGATGAAGATGAAGATGGTGATGATTATACATGATACAGATTAGATGAGATATCTTGATGGGTTTCATGTTTTCTTTCTTTTGTTTTAGTGAAAGATCATAAAATAGCAATTTCATTGGGTTATGTTAGATTTGTTGATTGGATTCGGTAATGCTTTGTAGTTTTGCTGTTACTGTTGGGTAGACATAGTATACTACCAACGATAACATCATACTCATTGCAATTTTACAGGACGAATCACGGTTCCACCAGGTAATGAAGCCAAAAAGACCAGATCGTTCATGCCAAACTCTTTAGTACCCCGATCATCCTGTAATATATATTATTAGCATCACGCCTAACCCCGCCTACGATATCTCAAAGTCAAGAGTAATAGAACGAGAATCGACAGACACGGTTACTTGGTACTCACCTTCTCAAACCCTCCCTCAACACATCCTCCTCCTGCGCATAGACAAGCCTAAACCACCCTGGGATGTTCCCATGCTCTTCGCACGGATGCAGGAATACACCTGCATTGACAAACTTCTGAGCGAGAGTGAATTCAGGCGGAGATGTGCTGTCACTGGTATCTTTGGGGAGATAGGGTGATAGGTCGATATATATAAAGAAGCCGGCGTTTCTGGAGGGAGCAATATAAGTTGCTATGTTGAACATAGTTTTGGAATGAGTTTCGGACACATCTTGACTTACCCTCCCTTTAAGTAGTTAATACCCTCTCGGGCAAGAGTGGATGTTGCGATTCGGTATGTTGAAGCAAGACTTTGTTGGCTTTTGGCAGTGAAGTCGCGAACGAAGTCTTGATCTTCGAGGATGGTGGTTCCGATTGTTACGGCTGCTGTGGAGGCGCTGTGGAGGCGTCTGTGAGTTGGGTTAGTTGACTTTCAGTTGCGAGTCGGGCAGGTAGTAGCCCGAACTTACAGGATTGCATTGCAGGAATGACGTAGGGGTTTGTTCTTTGTGATAAGGAAGCCTAGGTGGAGGCCGCCGGACGCGAAGTCCTGAGATCATATATGTTAGACACATTCTAATGAGCAGAGAAGAAAACGAGGTGCGGCTTACCTTGCTGAATCCGTACAACAAGTGCACCAGGTCAGGATTTATCAGCTCCGGGGTACTAAGGGATGATATAGAGGTGAATGGAACGGCATCTGGGTCTCCGGAATCAAAGACGCATGAAGCATAAATCTCGTCGCTGATCAGATGAAGCTGGTGCTTATTGCAGAATTTGAGAATCTCGGTCAGGGTTTCGACAGAATAGCAACGGCCTGGACGTAGTGTCAACGCTAGATTATTGATGAGCAATCAAGTGATAATCCATACCTATAGGATTATGCGGATTCACTAGCATCAATGCCCGGATGTGCACACCTCTCGCATGAGCATCTCTCACGGCCAATTCATACTTCTCGACAACAGAAGGAGCGAATGCCTCCTCTGCAGTGGTGTCTGCATATACCATCTGCACACCCGCTTCGACACCGTAATCAAGCTCAAATCGTCCATAAGCTGGCCTGCTGATTAAGATGCCGTCGCCTGGCTCAGCTAGGGTGAAACCAAGCATGCTCCCTATTGCAGTTGCGCCGCTGGCAACAATGACTTCTTCCGGGTCGATCGGAGTAATGGGAACGAGTAGATTGTTCAGATGCATTGCGACCGCTTTCTGTAGACGATGAATCGCATTGTTACCAGAGGTATAGGCAACTGATGCTACGTTGAACTCGACCTAAGCATGTAGAAGATATTGGTTGGGATTGCTGAGTTCCAGAGGAAAAAGAGAGAGGGCTGGATATTGACCTTGGTGTTGATGTAGTTGGCTATTTCTGCGCGCATTGGTGCCTATCTGCATATAAGTACTTTGGAGTTGTTGACTCAGTACTCAGATAACTTACATGTTCTGCTAATGCAAATGATATCATCCCCTCCGGATTCGTCTCTTTGCTGTACTCGTGCGGTAGAGCATAGCGCCACGGGATCTTGTGCAATTGCGCATTATTGCTGCCTCGAGACGAGAGCATTGTCGAAAAGGTACTTTATGGGATATGTTTGTTACCCTATAGAGCGTTGGTACACAGTTGAAGCGATTGTGTACTGTTCGAGGAGCGGATGCTTATCATATAGTTCCTAAAGGTAGAGAAGAGGGGTTGTAATACAACCACAGGTGGAAATACTAGCAGGATTAGATAATAACCTAGATTCTGGAAACGAACTCAAACAGTTGTGCGACATGCAGGTTAACTTGGGAGTGAGAAGAAAGGAGGAAGAATGAAGAGGGAAGAAGCCCACGTGAACGAAGGCAGTGGATGATAAACTAATAATCTGCTCACCAACAATCGATGATCTATTTATACATCAACCACCACCACACACCCCCAATCACTATAATACAACATTGTTTATCCCTTTCTAGTATACACCGTGAAACACCAATCGCTATGCAAATCATATACTATACAAGGTCATCCATGCTGGAAGACCGTCTCAGCTGTGCCGAGCTCGCTTCTCCAGTCCAATGTTCTGCCGTCCCCGAGGTCCCTTCGCGCGGTTGTCAGCGACCTTCTTCGCTTCTATGAACTTCCAGCATTCTATCGGAGCACGAGACCCAACATGGCGGCCGTGCGGAGTGAATACTTCCACTTGAGGGAACGACTTTGACGTCTCATTCTCAGACTCAGACTCCTTTGCGGACTTGGCTCGAACTTGAACTGTAAGCTCAACCCAGCCGCATCCTTCAATCAAAATATCGGTCGACATAACTTTGTATGGTAGAGACGGCATCTTCATATGCCCATCTTCAACCGCCTTGGCGATAGACCTGGGGAGGTGCGAACGAGTCACGTCCCATTTCAGGTCGAAAACACCTGCAGACGAGATGACCTGACCGGTACCTTCTCTGGCAATATTGGTCTTGGGGTAAGGGCGCTGCTCCGTTTGCATTTCAATAGCCTTTTCGGTTCTGGTGAGATGCGATTCAAGCGGGACGAAGCAAGCTGCCATCACGACATCCTCAGGGTTCATCGGCGTAATTCTGACGAGACCTCCTCCGAGAAGAAGTGATTGGCCAGGCTTGATCGAGAGGCGTTCAGGCTTCTTCCTCTTGGTCATGATCAAATCGCGTTTGAACTCATCACGGACATGGTCGGCCAGCTCGCCACGCTCGAGACCCGGCAGATCAATCATCTCGCCCCTTCCACGGCCAAATGGGATACGAATAGGTGATACTGTCGTGCCGGCTAGAGAAGAGACCACAGGGAGAATAGGATAGAGATCCTCTCGAGGCGCAGGGGGTAGAAGTCCCTCTGAATCAATAGCAGAAGGGTCATAGTGGGTAGCGATTTTGGACTCCTCCTCACGAAGCTCAATCAATTCCGCAATCTTCTCGAGATTCCTCGAATCCTTGGGAAAGCATGCCTCAATAAAACTGCTTTTACCAACGTTGGCCTTCCCAATCACCCAAATCCCTCCCCCATGCTCCCTAATCTCCTCCTTAACTTTCTTCGTCCACCATCCCCGCTGAGCACTAATCATATGCACATTCCCCAAGCGAAATTCCTCATGCGAGAGACCAAACGTATCACGAAGCACAGACCGTACATACTCCATCTTCGAATCAACCTGTTCCTTCGTAGCGGCCAACAGATCCGACCTATTAATAACAAAACTGATAGTCGGCAGCTTCTTCCCGCTCTTATACTTATAAGTCGCAGAGCGCCGATTCTTCGACCGCGGATCCATAATCCCCAGCGTATCGTAGATCTCCTTCACAACAGACATGGGGAAATCCGCCGCATCAACAACATGATAAATCCGATTATGTTTATGAGGCGACTCATCCAGATACGCGCGAAGGGATTCCATAGTCGGCGAAATAGCAGGAACGGCCTTGTTATGATGCAGCAGATCATGGCATCGATCGCAGATCTGTACTGGGGCTTTCGACTTCTCCAGATACTTGCCAGCAGTATCTGCCGCTTTCACCAGAGACGCACCAACTGCACAACAGGAATCAACCAGTTAGCAAATGAACCATACCCACCATCACAAGACAGATAAGAAGATAATCACTCACACTTCGGCCTCGGCACACTCCCCCCAACATCCGTAAGCTCCAGATATTTCTGAATCCGATCCGCCGCCTTCTCCCCCTCAGCCTTCAACCCGGACACTTCTTTCCCATTCTCCTCACCCTGACCACCCTCAACAACCTGCTTCGTCTCCGACAGGAGCTTCCGCGTCTGTTTCCTGGTCTTCCCATAAAACCCAGGCTCGTTCGGCTCGACAGTCTGCGCATACGCACCGCATCCGGGACAACACACGGGGAGGACAGCTTCTTCAATTGTTGGTTCAAGAGCCGGGCTTGCGCGTAGCGGAATACTCGTGGAAAAGCTGCGTAGCTGGGTGCGGGCTAGTATCTCCGGACGGGAAGAGAAAATCGCGGTTGTGGTTCGCAGGCACGGTTTGCGAAGGCGGGATATTTGTAAAGGCGCTCGGTGGTATGGTAGGCGCCCTCGTGGGATTATGCGCCCGAGGTATGGCGACATGGTTGGTGAGGTTTGGGGATGTTGGAGAGCTCGGAGAAGAAATGCGATGAAAGTCTAGTCTACTGATAGCGAGTGATAGCGGCGATAGCGTTGGTGGTCCGCGCCGGCGGCCGGAAAAAAGTTGCTGTGGCGAACTGACTAGCTGGTTCTATCATAGCTAATACGGGGTGTTGGGTGCTGTTGGAATACAAGATAATTAAGGAGAGGTGATTATTTGAAAGATATTATTTTCGATAGAATATGTACGCTAGCTATGGAGCTTAAGATGAAGTAACCGTGCTTCGCAAACCCTGATATCAATAATGAGCCAACAACATGAAAAACAACCAGAACCCTAGACCATACGCCGTAATCGCATGAATAAGGAAACATTCAATGACATTCAATCAAGCCTTCGCTTTTCCCTTACCCTTAGGATCCTCAGCCTCCTCCTCTTCCTCCGAGTCACTCATAAACTCGTCATCCTCATCAAAACCAATATACCGCCGAGGTGCAGCACTGCGCGCCGGCTCGGCCGACGACGGTCCAGGTGCATCCTCCATCTCCTGCTCATCGTCACTTTCCTCCTCGGAGCTAGAGGGCGTCTCCTGACCACTTCCCTCACTCGGGCTAGCACTTGTGCTTGATCCGCCCAGAATCGTATCGCGCAAGTTATCCGTCCACATACCATCCTTCATAGCCATAAGAACCGCCTCTCTCGCCTTCTCATTCATCTCGTCCTTGTCCTCCATCCACTGACCGTCAATCTTCTGCTTGCCACCCCCGTTCTTCAGCTCCTCCTGACGCTTCTCCGCCGCCTCGACAACAGCCTGCCACCGACGCCGGCGCTCCTCCTTCTCCTTCTTGTCCATCTCTGGCTTGAGAGCGAGGTACTCGGCCAATGCCTTGGCTTCGTTGACTGTGCGTAGACGACGGCCATCGAGGTTGCGGCTGGATCCATTGTCGTCGCCTTGGTTGCGCTTGCGCTTGCTGGACATCCGCCCACCAGCGGCACGGAGCTGGGATCCGAAACCTCCCTTACCACCGCATAGGGGGGCGCTGAGGCGGAGGGGGAGAATGGAGGCTGTGGCGAGGTTGTCATTGGTGCTGATGAGGTAGGATGCGATGGATTCGGATGAGGGGAGAAGTTGCTTGTTGCTGGTTGTTGTCAAGACCAGACGATTGAGTGGCAGAGAAGGAGGCAGGTATGAGGCGATTTTGTCCGTCAGGTCAGCGACGCTGGATGATGATGGTAGCGCGAAGGAGAGTGTTGATGGAAGTGAGAGACCGGGAAAGGTCGACAATAGGATGTTGACGTTTTGGGACGCCATGATGGTTGGTGATATCGCAGAGACAGTCAGTTAAGCAGTGCGTATATATCGAGTACTCGAAGGGCTGAGACTGTTGCTGCTCGTTGAATGTGGAGATGATCGATTGCAGAGGTGAGGCGCAGTTGACTTCATTCAGGATGCGGAGGAGTTCCCGATAAGGCCATTGATGACTAACAGGGAAACTTACCTCTTTGTGGCCTCAGGCCAAGACGCATCTTGCACGTGACGCAGCTTATCCGTCTAGCGGAGCGATTAGGGCCCCAACCCTGAAACCGCTTCCCGATGGGGAATTACCGCACTTTTTTCTCGACCGCAGCCGCTCCACTCACATCAACTACATTTAAACCACCCTCTTCGCGCGTTGTCAAGGCGATTCCCCGAAGAGCGCTAGGAACTCGCGACAATGTAAGTGATGCACCTAATATCGGCCATTGATATCATATAGGATGATGTAGCTAACCCTGATTCAGGCTTATCCCCAAGGAAGACCGCAAGAAGATCCACGAGTACCTCTTCCGCGGTATGTGAACACCTATATCGACCGAACCTTGTTTCCCCGAAACGTTGCGCGACGGTCGATCGATGGATGATGGATGAATCAGTCATGCTGACGGTTAACAATAGAGGGTGTGCTCGTGGCCAAGAAGGACTTCAACCTTCCCAAGCATGGCGACATTGACACCAAGAACCTCTACGTGATCAAGGCCTGCCAGTCCCTGACCTCCCGTGGTTTCGTCAAGACCCAGTTCTCGTGGCAGTACTACTACTACACCCTCACCCCCGAGGTACGTTTTATTCCATGATTATATCCGGCGCAGGATACGATAAGGACGGATTGTCTGACTGGTTTGATATAGGGTCTTGACTACCTCCGTGAGTGGCTCCACCTCCCCGCTGAGGTTGTCCCCGCCACCCACATCAAGCAGCAGCGTTCCCACGCTCCCCCTCGTGGCATGATGGGCGGTGAGGAGCGTGAGCGTCGTCCCCGTGCTCCTCGTGAGGGTGGCTACCGCCGCCGCGAGCAGGAGAACAAGGAGGGCGGTGCCCCCGGCGAGTTCGCTCCCAGCTTCCGTGGTGGATTCGGCCGTGGCCGTGGTGCTCCCTCCTCCTAAGGGGTGTCGCCTGCCGGTCTTCCAAGGGCTTAATGGGATTGTTGCCGGTGTGGCTTGAACGACTTTGAAAGAAGTCGGGCAGCTGTACCGTGCACGTCCTAAAAAAGAAGTTATGCCAAGCTACTGTTTCACAGTTATGATATAGTTAGGATTAATGGCATGATTTCATGACTTCATTTTATTTTCCATTTCGTAAGATAAATGGCGGCTAAATCTGCTGCTATATACATGCGCTTGATATACCAAAAGGCAACGCCGAGATGTATGCAGAGGCGCAACTATCGACACCCGCTGTCAACGCAGCTCATTTCGAGAACCTCTTCCGATCATAACGGATCACTGCTTGCAAGATGACTGATGCACCTGTTGCGCAGTCATCTGCGGAGCAGAACTCCTCTGGGTGATGGCTCAGCCCATCTTTGCAGGGAACGAAGATCATGCTGGTTGGGACTCTCTTGGAGGTAAAGACACTATCGTGACCCGCCCCGCTCATGATTGTCCGCATGAGGGACTTGGGCTCCGCAGCATTGACGTCCGAAACGACCGCCTCCGCGGATTGCTGCACGCACTCGATGCAGTCAGGGTGGAACTTGACAGCGGGCGAATCGAAGTCAAGGGTCCACTCTACGCGGCAAGGCTTGCCAATACCCTTACCCTCTTCTGCAGCGATCGAATCGAACTCCTTTCTCAATTGGTCTTCTACAACCTGGACCAGTTCGCTTTCTGGGCCGCGAATGTCGAGAGTGAAGCTGACAGTGCCGGGAACTGTGTTCACACTGCCGGGCTTTGCCTCTACAATACCAACGCTAGCCAGACAGCCGTGGGAGGAGGCAACCTCACGAGCGCGTACCATCATACGAGCAAAGGCATATAGGGCATCTGCACGGTGTTCGAACGCGGTGGTACCTGTGTGGGTGTCTCTGCCAAAGATTGTAAGGCGGAACCAACGGTATGCCTGAACGGCGGTAACGACACCAACGTGCTGACCTGCGGAAATCAGATGGGGTCCTTGCTCGATGTGTAGCTCGAAGTGGGCCGCCATGGGTGTTTGCTTGTATGAGCACGGGACACTTCCGAGATAGTTGATCTTCTCCAACGCAGACTTCATAGACTCTGGGGCAGAAGATGCGGTCGGGAGAGATGCGACTGTTGGGACTTCTTTAAGCCCATGTGCTCGTTCGAGAGGGATGCATTCTGCCCAAACGCCAGAAGACACCATGCTAATGGGGAACCGGGCACCCTCTTCGCTGTGATAGTGTTAGCGATGCGAGTTGAAGCATAGTAATAGCGATCCGGGTCGTACTTTGTCCAGTTGACAACTCCAATTCCACCTTCCGTCTCCAATCCCATTTCGTCAATTACTTTCAGTGTTTCAATACCGGAGAGAACACCCAAAATTCCATCATATCGGCCACCTGTCGGCTGCGTATCCAGATGGCTGCCAATGAAAGTGGGTGGGACGTCAGTCCGTCGTCCAGGGCGAACAGCGAAGATGTTACCCATTTCATCCACCGTGACCTCGCATTTTAATGCCTTTGTTGTCTCGATGAACCAGTCCCGTACTTGCTTGTCCTCCTGCGACAGTGCGAGTCGCTGCATGCCAGTGTCTGTGTGTTCACTGAATTGCTGTTAGACCAACTCTCGATCCATGGCAAAACGCAAGCCATTGGGTATGTCAAGCGGCTCCTTTGCATAAACCCAAAAGACCGCTTGTAGTGATTCCAAAGGGTGTTACAGTATCACTTACTCTCCCCAACGGATGCCATATCCCCACTGACAGCTATGATGGAGGTCCTTCGCCAAACGTTCTTTATTGGCCCTGAGAGCAGAGACCTCAGCCTCGGTTAGCTCCGTAGACAGCATGGTATGAGTCGTGGTAACTGAGAAAGCTCGACGTGAAGGTGTGAATACGGGTTTCGCGAATGCTGATCTTGTCTGCTTGGATAGGATCCCAGTAAACCTGGCAGCAGATAATCTTGGGTAGAAGATGAAGGCCATCTTGAGCCAAGTGAGCGCCCAAGGGGGCTATATCTTTTTCAATGGTCTTATTGTTGGAGACCCTTCCAGATAAGACGGCCCAATCGACAGTATGATAAGATAGCTAGGTGGGGTTGAGCTGGGGTCTCGGGCTTTCCACCGAATCAGATATCCGCGGATTTGGGTGACGATGGAGCGTTTTCTCGTACTCCAACGGTCTTGGCCGCTTATATAGGAAGGTACAAGAGTAGCTCGGCAATATGCGATTCTATTGATGATGAGGGGTAGGGAAGGCCTCCGGCGTCATTACCGATTGACAGGGCGTGGAGCAGTTGTAGTAGTGGGTTGACCAATGCAAGACGGACCAGCCATACGGACTGGAACCTTGCTGAAAGACGGATTGAATCAGGGCGAAGTTAGTTCTCCTTATAGGCTTCAATGCCATGTTCATTGCACGGTATAAGTTTTCCAAGTTGCGAGTACCTGGTGTCTAAAGAGGACGATTGCATCCACCCAACGATTCAAACAACACGACATGTACTGCTAAAGACACAAGGGGGAGGAGAGCTTCCGCTTGCGGAAGACTCGATCAGTGCTTGAGCACAGTATACAAGATCAGTGTTTCAACTGAATGGAGGGATACTGATAATAATCAGTAGTGGGTGAAATGTCTGAAGACAACTGTTTCTGGGAGCCGGCAACCATGTGTTCGTTCCCCTTAGCTTTATGGACTTGGTCGCTCAGTATAGCCAGTTACGCACACGCACCCTTAAAGGCAACGCAAACGCACCCCTTTCTCGAAAACTACCATAAAAGGGGGTAGAAAGTTGCAAGAAAAGACGAACATAATCTACTTAGATCATACAATAACGACCAAGAAAAAGAAAAACAATAAAATCGACAGCTGTGTCGATGGGTGATTCCAAAGATTGATGAGAGGAGTCTTTTGGGCAAACCACGGCCATCTCTGGTAAAAGGCAAGAAATGGGTTCTGAGCTAGTTTGTCCCACTCCTCGCAGATTCTACCTTAAAGTGCTTCTTATAGTACCCTCCGTCAGCCACCCGCCATAAGTTCGAGACCTCGCCGGCGCGAACCTTTTTCTTCCCTCAACTTATCTTTTCGTCTTCTTCCGCCTTGCGATTGCTAACCCCGCATCCAGCCATTGCGACCTTCAATTCCCCTCAGACATTATTACATTAATTGCCATCAACGTATATACTCAACCTCGTCACACAAGATGTCTTCCGCTGCCTGCATCTTCTGCAAGATCATCAAGGGTACGGTGCCTCCTACCTCTGCCCACCTACAAATACTATATTCTTTGTTCTCCAACTGCGCCCGCTGGTAGCAGTGATCCGATCCGGCTAACCCGACGTAAACAATAGGTGATATCCCTTCTTTCAAGCTCTTCGAGAGCGACAAGGTCTTTGCCTTCCTCGATATCCAGCCTCTTAGCCGTGGACATGCTGTAAGTGTGCTCCCCTATTTTCGCGAATGGCATATGCCCCTCTATCTGGAATATGACCCCCGCACGACAACTTCCTTGCTCTCTACATCGAGAGATGCAGTCGACAGTCCTTCAAAACCAATACTTATCCACAAATTCCACACCGACACTTCAATACCAAACCCTCAATAAACCCCATAACCTCCACGCCTCCTCTCCCAAAGACGACCAAAACAAGAAACCAAACCAAGCTAACATCTCACCCCCAAACCACAGCTCGTGATCCCCAAATACCACGGAGCCAAGCTCACCGACATCCCCGACGAAGATCTTCAGGAAATCCTGGTACGTAAACAGCGCCGACAAGCACTCTTAAAATAAGCTCAGGGCTCGATCCGCATGCTTTTATAAGGTCCCGCCTGATCGAGGACCCTGCGAGCACTTAACCCCCCCTCCCCTTCTCCTCTTTCAGTCTTCCCCGCAGCTACCTACCTACCTAGCCACAGGAACGAACAGATACTAACAAGGAATCTTCAACAAATCAAACAGCCCGTCGCAAAGAAGATCGCCAAGGCCACTGGCGCCGAGGACTTCAATATCCTCCAGAACAACGGTCGCATAGCGCACCAGGTTGTTGATCATGTAAGTTGATATTCTTTTATAGATATTGGAGGGGGGGGGATTAATGCTAATGTTTGACGTTTTCAGGTTCACTTCCACATGGTATGTTATCGCGCACTTCAAGGAACAGCATATGGCTGCTCATAATGCCATTGATTAGTTTCACTTGCTAACAGGATGCTGGAATAGATCCCCAAGCCTAACGAGAAGGAAGGTCTCGGTGTCGGCTGGCCCGCTCAGGAAACCGATATGGATAAGCTGAAGGCTCTGTTCGAGGAGCTCAAGGCTAAGATGTAAAGGGTGTAAGTAAGTAGTGCGGATATAGCAAGGGCTACGGCTGCGTCTATTTACATGCCATGTGCTATTATTATCAGTTCTGCTTTCACAATTGGAATATCTGTAGGGTACACACTGTAAGCTATGATACAGAAGATGATAGCCAACTTCTGTGGGAATGCATCTATCAAGAAAAATCCATTGCTCCATTTGAAACCACCAACAAAAACCGCAATCCAAGTATACATGCTCCATGACAGACAGGTAGAAGCTGTATGTACATGCTCTCACGATGTGAGCGTTATTATGACAAGTAGTCCTCTATCAACACACTCTAACAGTCTATCCTCATACCAAGGCTCGGAGCGTATTACTCGGCCTTCTCGTCGTTAAGTGCGTTTCCCTCAACCTTGCTCTTCGTGGGATAGAACTCGATCTTACCCTCACCTTGGATGACATCTAGTCTATCGTACAAGGAGGTGGCCCGAACGTATGGGTCAAGCTGCCAGTATTGGACCCTTAAGCGCTCGATCAGGTCCTTTCTCTTGTCTACCGCCGCCTTGACGGCGCTCTCATCCTTCTTCATCGTCGAAGAGATCCACTCGATGGTGGCGCCTTGAAGCTCCTGCGCCAGCTGCTGTCTCTCGGCCACCATTTCGTCCCGCTTGGCTGTGTCCTCCTGAAGCTTGTTCTCGTCGGGTTGAGGCTCGACATACTTGTAGGCCCAGTTTTCGTCACCTTCAAGCTCTTTCATGATGCGATCTTTGGGAATGAACTTCTCCAAGTCCTGGACATTCTTGGTGAACTGGATCTTAGAGGCGACCACAGGGTCGAGCCAGCCCTTAATGATATTCCAGATACCTGCAATCGAGGTTAGGATGGTTCCCTTGGATATCAAATCTGAAGAACTAACCTGAGAAGATCCAAGGAGCCTTGTGAATCAGAACAACTCCCAGACACTCCGGGTAGTTGGCTTCGAAGCACTTGATCATATACTTCACCGGGTGATAGTCCTATAACATGTCAGAGATGGAATCTGTTGGCAGTTGACAGGGTGCCTACCATGTTTGCTAGGGAGAAATCGGTCATATCGAAGACAACACACTATTACCTGTCAGTGCATGCTACTCTTACCGTGAGATTGTATACTCACAGCTGTTTCGACTGGAGGTGCAAGCATCATCCGAGCGGTCTCAATTGTGTACACAGTGAACCGGTCCAAAGCTTCTGTCTCCTGGTCGGCGGCCTTGTGCAAGCGCACTCTGACGACGCAGATCGGCCGGCCAAGCTTGTCCACACCATGGAGGAAACTCTTGCCCATGCGCATCTGCAACAGGAAGTCTTCACCGGCCTTCTTCTCAGCGGGATCTGAACTCTGGGATTTCTTCAGAGCACTTTGCTCGCCATTCTGCATGATGTCCTCATCCAACTTCACATCCAGCAGTCTCCAGCGAAGCGTAGAGATCAACATGACCAGAGCCTTCTTGACGTCCCACTTTCGCGCGCGCAGGAAGCGCAAGAGCAGAGAATCGGGATTGTCATGCTTGACCATATTCCAAAGAGTCACCCGGATCTCCTCAGGCTTCATATCCACAAGCGCCTGCTGGAACTCCTTCGATTGGCCATACTTGTCATCTCCATCGGCGATGCTGATAGAAGCGAGACTCGAAGCGATCCCGTTGGTCCCCTTGTCGCTAGCGCTATCTTCCTCCTCATCCGTGTTGCTCCGCCCGAAAAGACCGAACCTACTCCGCTTGGGCTGTTTCTTCTTATCTTGGGGTTGGCTTGCAGCAGCAGCGTCGCCGTTCTGCTGCTGAATCTGTTCAATAGCATCCAAATTGACACCGCAGACCTTCAACAGCAGGACCCAAAGCTCTTGCAGCTTGGCTTCCTGCTCTGGTGTGAGATTCCCCACAGTCCCGGGTGGTAGATCCATAGGCATTGTCTTTAGGGTTTCGATGACGCCGAGAAAGGGTACTTGCGATTCTTGCAAAGGTTCGAGTGAGTCGGAGATCGTAGGAATATCACCTCCCGACTTGCGGTATTTATCCTGCAGCCAGGCTCCTGCTCCGATAAGAAGTAGGGTGAATGTGACTGACCAGAACGACGCAGCTTCCCTCGGTTTGTAAGGTTGGGACAACGGCGAAGTGGAGAAGGGTCGTCTGAAGGATCGAGACCAAATCAGAGGACTTTGATTAGAGCACCGCGGTGGGAAGATCTGTGCACGTCCTGAATGCAGGAGTCTGCCCGACGCGAATTTGATGGAATTGGCCGAGGATGGAGGTAGACGGCGGCGCAGGGAGGAACAAGCATGCATGTGCTTATTCGTGAGGGCCAGAAGGCGATTGGAGAAGGACGAGTCAAATCCCAAAAGCAGAGATGCCGGCTGTCTTTTCCTGGTGTCCTCGTGAGTAAAATGAGAGACGAAGATCCGAGCCTAAATTTCCAGCCGGAAATAATGCGGGGAAGGAAGGCGAGAGGGAAGGAGGCGAAGAGAAGGCGGACGGTGCAGTTCGCTTGGAACCTTCACAGACAAGGTTCAGCTGCAGGAGACTAAGGGGAACTCACAGCGGTTGGATGCGGCAATAATGGGGAGAGGAAGATGAAGCAAGCGAACAGGATGGATTGCCAAGTCTCTTATTTTTGCCCGTCCGCAATCCAATGATGATAATCACACCAGGGGTCCCCTCCGGACTAGACGGAAGAACTAAGTAGTCCTAATTATAGGCTGATTGGACCATTTTGGGTCACAGTGGCGCCCCCGGGCAGCAAATCTGCAGACACCTGAGGCATGAAAAAGGAGGGTCCAGTGACTCGGCCTTGCCTAAAGCGGGGATCAACATCAACAAACCCAATCTTTCGCAACTCCTCCATACACAACTTGAAACACAACTGCGTCAAGTCGCATATTTGTGACAGCTTTTCTTCTATACTGTGCTTATTCCTATTTTGTCTTATCAGTGTCTCTCAACGGGCTTGGTTGCAGCCTTCAATTTGGGTGCACAGTCTCAGAATCGTCATGGATGCTTTTGCCCGCTCATCGTCTCGCCCACGGCCCTCGTCGCGACCCACGACTCCCTTAAGACCCAGTTCCCGGTCGTCGATCCGCGAAGCTCATGGCTATGGCAGCAGTATTGGTATGGCAGGCTACACCCAGCCTGCCATCAATGCCTTGGAACCCCAGTTTGCAGAGCTTGCAGACTCCATGGCCGACCTCGAGGCCAACTTCATGCACCTTCAGCTGATGCACGAAAGTTTAACTCGGTTCAGTGAGAGTTTTGCCAGTTTCCTCTATGGATTGAACATGAACGCGTTCTGTGTGGACTTCCCAGAGGTAATTGCGACTGAGAATAGTGGCTGTCTTCCCTCCTAAGCTGACGATCGGATACAGGCGCCCATTCCAGAGTCTTTCCGGAGAGCCAAGCAAGCAGAGGCACAGAATGGTATGGACACAGCTATGTAAAAGGAAGATCCAATACTAATAGCACGGGTAGAAGCCGAAGCCGAACAGCTGAAAGCGACCACTGAAGCGGAGATGACATTCATGTGAGTTTTGATTACTCCCCGGGCTAGTTGTTGATTGCTTTCCTCATACTAACAACATGACGCACTTAGGACTACGGACACTTCCTTCATCGAACATCCTTCGAGCACCGTTCCCTCCAAGCCTTCGGCCAAAATCCCGGCCCCGTCGCGTGGCACCACCAGAGGATCCACGCGTGGTTCGACAAGCAGTCGGTATGCGACACGGGGCGCCAATCGCGGCGCCCGTCCCAGCGCATTGCCCCGCGGACGAGGATTGCGGTGAAGGCAGGAACCCGGATGGTAGAAATTTTCAACAGGGCGCAGACGGTTGAGCCTGGAGAGGCACAAAGACTTGCGCGAAGGGAACGGTCTGCTATTGGCAATCCGTAGAGAATCCCTGCAATTCGCAACGCGCCTCCAAACCTTGAGGGGAACCCCGTTCCTGAAAGAACCTACGGCGACGATAGCGTTCCGTAACACGAAGCCTGCCGAGCGGCCTGTCCGATCTCAGCGGCTCGGATCTTTCTGAGGGAAGTTCTAGCTAGCCCAGGTGGTAGAGTTAGGGTAGGCTGGAAAACTCCAGTCTAGTGCCCACAACTATTTCAGGGCCCGGAGAAAATCTGGTCACGTATGATAGCATTACGCATAATGATGAATGCAAAATATTCCAAGTGTTGAAAGTGGGTGTCCTTGCGGCTCGAATAAGCGTTGTAGGACCATCGCCCGTCCCCAGAATGACCCACCCCGGGGTCAATGGGGAAAGACATCATCAAGGATCAGATGCCCCATCGTGATATTTGGAGGCGCACGGCCATAGTTTGCCAGTGTATATATCATGTTGGGTGATTTGTCGAGGCGACATAATAAATGCAAAAAAATAAAAATTCAAAATACCCCGGAAAGCACACCCAGTAAGGAAGCCAAAGACGCCAAAGCAACGATCTCGGATCAAATGCAGTCCCGGTTTCTTATCGCCCCGGAGCCGCGGTCGACCCTGGCGAAAAAAAGATCTGTCTTGCATCCAGCGCCCACCGTGCCTGTCTTCACGGGACGATCTCTATCCGTATATATAATTGACCTACTTGTGTATTGTATCATTTGTGGTCTCTGTCCGTCTATTTCATTGGGGCTGTCCTTGCACGGTCCTGAACAAGAAGACAGCGAGGGACCGAGTGACTCGAGGGGGGATCCCGCCGTGACCAAGTCCGATCCCGATTTGAACTGCGGAACACCCGGTGGCTGCGGAGAAACACTCGAGTGAACTGCTGCCCGCTCTCGACATTCCACTGCTTCGGTGGCTTTGCTATTGGCACGTCTTGTGAAGGTGCATTTCTTTCTCTTCATCCCCATTGGAGGACCTGACGTCCCCTAGCATACAGAGCTGATATGATTCATGCCTGCAGAGTCCTCCAGGGTAGTCCGTCCGATCCATGGATTCCTACTTGATCTGCAGTTGACCTGCTGAATATCCTTATCATCTCCTTCTCTCTACATTGAGAGGATAACTGTACTACCTCTTTTAACACACTCCTTCACCCATCTCAACTGGGAGCCTCACTCTAGGCTGAGCCAGGATAGGCTTCACGTGCGAGCTGTGACACTTGTTTCAATACGTTCATTCATAACTACCTCACACAATGGCTAGCGTCCTCTCCATATCATTACTTTCTGAGGCCGAATATGGCTGCGGTATGTGGAATTCATGCGCAGAGCTGTTTCCCGGATCTTTTTTGGCCCCTTTACTGACCTGATAACAGAGCATCTGGCCACGCTAATGGGGCAGGATGTGAGCACTGCAGAGCAGTTCAAGAACGCTTTTATCAAAGCGCATAATTCATTAGGCCATTTTCAGCGAGCGATGGATTCATCGAAGCAGAACGGTCGTCTCAAATCCAAAGATTTTCTGAAACCAAAGTACAACTGTTTGACATGCGGTGAAACGATGCCGATGGGCGGCCGAAAAGCCCATACCGAGAAGACTAGCCATCAATTCTGTAGGTGATTCTTGCCTTTTCCTATCAATGTTGACTAACAGTGTTCGAGACATGGATTCGCGAGCCCGCACAGTATATTGCCAGGCTTGTGGAGATTTCGTCTATGACCATGGCCTCGAACGACTTCGGTGCTCAACAACAGAAAGCGCTCTTCAAGGTTAGCATTTGACCTACTCTCCCGTTTGGTATAGCACTAACACGACAAAGTCGCCAAGAAACGTCGCTTCAGCGATAGCTCTGCGGACGAGCTTTACATTCGGAGCAATGCTAGCAAGCGTCCTTGCGCTAAGCAAGGTGTCAGGGGCTTGTTCAACCTCGGGCAAACCTGCTATCTCAATGTCATCCTTCAAACCCTCCTGCACGACCCAATACTGAACACCTATTTCCTTGGGAACGGTCATCAGCCCCACGACTGCACTGCTTCTGACTGCGTAGGATGTGCAGTTGCGGAGGCCTTCGCGGATTTCAACAGCAGCGACAAACCGGAAGGGTTCGCAGCTCTCAATCTTCTTCTAGCGTCATGGCGTGCAAGCTCTGTATGTTATCACGGACACTAAATCCTGATCAATGGCACTAACGGCAATTTATTCAGACATTAGCAGGTTATCAACAACAAGACGCACACGAGTATTACCAATTCCTCGTCGACAAGCTTCACCTTAGTACCGAGAATCACCGAGAAGGTCATGAAAAGGGTTGTCCTTGCTTCTTTCACAAGACCTTCTACGGCAAGCTCCGAAGCAGCGTGACTTGCGATAAGTGTGGCAACGTCACACGAACGGATGATCCTATGGTGGATCTCAGTCTCGATGTTCAAGTGCAGGCGAAGAAACGCGCCATGGGTGGCACAGGAGTTTCGTCGACGCCTACCCTGAGTGGATGTCTGGAGAGCTACACGTCTCCGGAGAAACTAATGGCAGGCGTGTACAACTGCAGTCACTGCGGCGGAACACCACAGAAGGCCACCAAACAACTGCGCATTCGAAAATTACCCGCCATTCTGTGCATGCAGCTAAAGGTATGTTCCTGCGCAAATTTCCTAGGACCAGACACAGACTTACCCAATACAGCGCTTTGAACACACCTTTTCCGTCTCGGAGAAACTAGAAGGCAAAATCGACTTTCCACTATCGATCAACATGCTCCCTTATACAACCTGCCCGCAGGCCAAAGTTGACAGGTCCAGATTCGTATATGACCTCTCATCTGCCGTAGTCCATCAAGGCAAACTCGATGCGGGGCATTACTACGTCTACTGCCGCCAGGGCGATGATGTGAGTTCTTGATCTCCCTCAGTCAGATTACTCCTAAACAGCCGTTCCTAACCCGAACTTCTCAGTGGGTACTCTTCAACGACGACAAAGTCACCGCTGTCACCGAGGCAGAAGTCCTCAACGCCGACGCGTATCTCCTATTCTACAATCTTCGATCACTGGCTTCTGCGCCGCAAAGAAGCTAGCTACTTATCGTGTACCATCACACCACATCATCACATCACATTGTACACTGGCGGCTGCCTCATCTTCTCGCATTCGGTTTCTCTTCAGCGACTCGGAGTCCACGGCTAGGAGTTGTATTATTATTGTTTGATTGGTTGGTTGCATGTATGCTCGTGTGGGAGAGTTGTGGTTGGCATCTTCGATCACGGATGCAAGACTGATGCTTGTCGTGTTGTGTTGCGTTTCTTTTCTTTGCTTGCTTTATACGCTCATTCGCTTAGATATAGCGGGTATGTCTGCGGCGTGCATATGCGTCAAGACTACCAGGTATAGTAGAAGGTTAAGGTTGCAGGTGTGGGTATACATGGCTGAGTGCCTCGCTAGATATGACTGGCGAATACAGACAGTATGGATATTTCGATCACTTGATTCTGATTCAGTAGATTAAAACCAAGGCTGCGTTAAACTGTACACCTAGACTGACATAGATGCTTCCATGTGACTCATGACATACTCCCAGTCAGTCATCTACACTACGCAGGTCCTACAGGAACTATCCACCAGAGGCAGTCCGATAACTGGACCCAAACCCAACTGACTACACCCATCAATAAGCCGGAAATATCAACTAGAGCAGAGCCGCACGATCCCAAAAGACATGCATAACCAGCCCATACGAATGATACGATCCCCAGCAGCACCCCCACCTCTCACAGGACAAGCCGGGGGGAAGAATCGGTGATTATCAAGAGATCCTCAATTCAATAGGAAATACCGTCCACACCAGCCAACAACAACAACCTAAACCCACCCCCTCTCGTCTCTAACCCTCAAATCCCATCTCTTCCTCAATCACACCTAAGAAAGATTAAAGGAAATTCCACCATGAACAAATAAGAAAAACACCATTTTATTTCATTCCATTGAAAATCAAGCCCGGGTTTCGGATTTCATTTGCGTTTTCGATTTCACAGACACACAACGCACACACACACTGTGGTAAAAGAATATAAGAGGCTACCGTTATCCCCCCCTGTATTTCTTCTTCCTCCGCTAATCCCCCGACATGGGAATTGTGGGGGATCGTTGGTTTATTTGATGATTGGGTGGTGTATGTGAAAGAGAGAATCGAAAGCGCCACGAGCACGTTTTTAACGAATCATCGTCGTGAGTAACGGAAAATGGGGATCGATGATGATATGGGGGATGGAGAAGATTCGATTTAACGGTACTGTTTGGGTGAGACGGTGTGTTAGTTAGGTTTCTCTGGGTTTGAGTTGTGTGGCGTGATTGTGGTTTTGGCTGTCGATGTCGTAGTGGCATTTCATTTCTTTTCATTTCATTCCGTTCCTGGTACCCATTCTTTTTCGTCGTCGCAAGTCCCATCTCTTTCTCTTTCGATATCCTCCTCGCCATGCCAATGCCATTTCGGATATAATGTGATTGTGGTACTGGTGCTGGAATATGCATGTGGGTGATGGTGAAACCAACCTTGTGGAAACCGATGTCAGAGGACTTCTCACGGAAGCACTGACGGCAGATGTTCATCTGTACGCAAAACCAGTTAGCCATTATTCCAGCACCCCAATATTTCGCATCGCAGAAGTCTGAATATATCCATACCCCGTACTTGCGGATCAGACCGGCGCGGTGGGAGCAGACACGGCTGTATTATTCCAACACAACGAATCAGCACATAACTTCCTTTCATATTTTCGTATATGTCCTCCATTCGATTTCATTTCTTCTCTCCTCTCCGAATCTCTCTCCCAATCCCACACATTATCTCCTCAGGAAAAATCGCAGAATACGCACCAAGAACGGGAACCCTTGCCGAACCTATCCATCACAGATCAATTAGCAACCACATCTATACCAAATTTCATCGGCACGGATTTCAACTTACTTGCGGGGCCGGCTGTACCAAACGGACTCGTGAGTCATCTTGAATCTGAGGCGAGAGAAACCTGGGGATGAGACGGTGTTTGGCAGGCGGTTTGTCGTCGCTGGGCGTTGAAGGGGGACGGGGATTCAACGAAAAGGTTAGGGTCGAAATTCCGTTTGTGTGTCTTTCCGGTTTCCGTGATGCGGGCTCGGACCATCTCGCTTGATGGGGGCGCTAAGCCTTGTTGGGATGGGGGATGATTGGGTGCTGGTCATGTGATATGGGTTTGGGGCTATTTTCAACTTTACTACTCCAGATGTCGGGCTCGGGGGGAGGTTGTTCCGGCGGATGTATATCGATGGGATTGATTAATGGAGAAGTTGTTCTTTTGTTGATTGCGTATAATGGTAAATTTTTTATTAAATTCTTGCTGCGTAGGTATTTTTTCAGCTCATGTATAATTATTTTCATTAAGATGTCTGCCTGCATTCCGTTCTACCTACCACGCCATCACTAACCTCGCTATACTCAATCGCGTACTTGAGAGCCCGAAACAGAATGGCCAAATACAACGAGACACATCTTTCCACTGGAATGCATATTTCTGATACATCCCACCTTACTCACAGATATATACTGCTCAGACCTTCTGTCTAGAATCATACAGAGAAAAGCTCATGCTACTCAGCACCCCCACCCACCTTCTTATACTTATACTTACCCCTCCCTTCAATCATACCAAGACAAGTTGAACTGCGCTCAATGAGCTCAACAACGCACAATTATCTCTGGTCCAGATTCTGGAAACCATGTATAAGCATGCTACTGTATCGAGATGCTACATGGATTATTTATCTAACAGACGGGTTGTAAAGAGGCAGACTACTACAGACTACAGGGGTACAGGTGCGTAAATAATCTAGTACTAAGCATAGTTAGTCAATAGTCACTTAGTATTTGGTATAGCTATTTGTAGCATCTATCCATGTTAGGTAATACTCTTACCCACTCATGTTCAGATAGGTACATAGATTAGTACTCCATAGAATACCCCCTCCCTCTCAGGGGAAAGGCATGGCTACATGCATTCAAGGATAAAAGGCAGGCATATAGACAGACAAAATAGAAAGGGTGAGGAAAGAAAAAAGTAAAACAAACTTGGGCAAAGAAAAGGGGATAGAAAAAGTAAGTAAGTATTATAGGGGTTTTCATAAGGCTTAGAGCTATCGGTGTAAGGCTGGCTAGGGAAGTAGCTAGCTAGCTAGTACATGCATCGATTGTGCATTAACTAATGAGATGTTTGTTGGAGGGGAACCATAAGACTAGTTGGTATGTGGTTGTCAGTTGGCCTTACAAAGATTTTATGGAAAAGTTATCCTATCCAATGTAGCTTTGTATAGTAGCTACAGGATACGTAGTATTTCAGTTGGGTGCTTTACTTAAGTGCATAAGTTGACCATTTGCTTAAATGAGCAATGGCCACAGATCAGACTAGATCACCCTGAAGGCCCCTTCAATTATAAGGAGTGGGATATAATTCCAGAGACAGCGTAGCAGGGGATCTATCTATTGACCAACGATCAACAAAGCAGTAACTACAGAAAGAAAAGCAAGCACAAGCTAGCTTCCTCAAAACCCGAACATCCGAGCTCCGACGTGATAGACTACTGTGTAGTCACTTGCGTTCGGGATTACCCGCTCGATTGGACCTAATAGGGCTAAGTAGTGATGATCACAGCAGGCGCGGTACAGGAGAAGCATCTAGCATCTGTCTAGTAGATGTTATTGGTGCTGTGTGTATAAGCGATTGGTCCGTCTCGCTTGGATCAGAGAGATCATCTGTGTACAAAGTAGCAAGGTACTTGTGCCTGGATGGCCATTCCGGCGCCGATTTTCGGGGGTTTCCTTATTGTTAGTACTTAGTAGGCATTGGTGTAGTTGATTTCTTATGTCGCGTGAGCTAGTTAATCAGACAAGTAATGTAGAATGTAGCGAAAGGCTGTCTTGTGATAGGGATCATAAACTTGTGACTACTGCAGGACATATCCATGTCTCGTTTCAGACTAGTAGGGTTGGTTTGTATCTCCCCGCAGTCACCCTCACCGTTTTTGCGGCATGTTGCGGTGACTGCTGGTCACACTTACCTACTCTAAGGGCTATGCTTGCGGTTTGGTAAAACACAGTATATGACTGACATCTTCATGTAAGGGGTGTGGTTCGCAATCACTTGACCTTACGTATACTGCGCCTTGCACATTCTTCGGCAAGTTAAACTGAACGAGAAAAGTGAATGAAGAAGGCTCGATAAAAACACTCTGGCTAAGGTGTAGTTTAGTATTAAGTACTATGCCTTGTGAGACGGGCATGACGCGAAACGGCACTTGAGATCATGTAAGCTGAAGTAGCTATGGAAATTGGCATATTGGAAAAGCCAATAGTATTGGAAATGGCCCTGAACGAGCAAAGAATCTGGGGTAGTAGTTCCCTAGCATACGGGAATGTATAAGAAGAGGGCGTTTCTGGACCGAAGTGAGTGCTTCTGTGCCACCCTGAGAGTTAGGACCCCTATGCCCTGCCAGATTAATCAACGATAATTGATCGGACCATCTAGTTGATGGCCATCGAACCTGCTAGAGAAGAGCTGGCTGTTATAGTTATCCTCGATGTCGCTTAATGAACCGTACCAGCTAGCGTGACAGTCCAGGAGCGAATCACAAAGGAACCAGAAACTGTAAAGGGAGTACCTGAGCAGTCTCACCAACCAGGCCAACCGGTTAAAGCGGCACCATCATCGGAGTGAAGCCGGAATTAGCGGCACGGAGATTATGGCCTGCCTAGTATAGTCAAGTGCTGAGCCATGGTTTGTCTCCGCTTAGAAAGAATGAGCTCTGCGGGCGGCATCCGCCGGCTGTTTTGCGTACCCTTGCCCAATATCAAAATTTTTTCGCCAATCGAATTAATTCGACCAAAGTTGCGGTGGAATCCACATGGAAAGAAAAGTCTCCGAGTTTATGAGCCTGATCAAGAAAATGATTGGGCGATGCATCGGAAATGGTCCGTCCAATCACTAGTACTTACTACCTAAGGACCTACACATGCGATGACCTGTAAGCTGAACGCCATATGTAAGAGTGG